GACTACTGGAGGAAGAAAGAGAAATCACGGACGGAATAAATAAGATCGAAAACGACGATTTTGATGATAGTGAATCCCAAAGCGTTAGAATACTGGATGATATGATGTCCAATAAAGAACTTTCTCAGCAAGAAACAAATACTGGGGCTGCCCGTATTTATTCAAATTCGGACGTTTCAAAGTGCGGCAAGGAAAATTTACGACATGCGCAACAAATCAGCGATATGGCAGATGCAGAATTAGACCATTCTGTCGTTTCACAGAGAAAGACGCACTCAATACTTGGGACGGACCTAACAGTGAATGGAAAACTGCTTACGACATCGGCCACGGACAGAACGTGCTCGTTAGCAAACGCAAATTCTATCATTGACCAGACAGAATTGCCTGGGATTCGAAGTTCGCAGAAAAGTTCTCATCAAATCATATTTGGGAATGTCGAGGTCGTAGCACTCACTCCAGGTAAAGAAATTCGTAGTGACAATCAAGAAAATGTTGTTAAATACATGATAAGTGATGTGGGACGACATGGGACTACCGAGAAAAGCGACTGCGTAGCTCATAGTGGAACAAATGAAGAGACAGAAATTACAAAAAACATTTTTATCACGAAAAATCAAGAGAAAAATGTTCGAAAACGAGAGGCTGCTTTAGAAGATGACTTCTTGCCTTGCAGCAGCGATGCATCAAGTGAAACAAAAGATTTTCAATTGAATGAAGAAATAGAAAGCCAACGAAAAGATTCAATAAAAGGACTGGTTACAAAAGACATATTGGGAAATGAACGAAGACGGCAGGCTGCTTTAGAAGATGACTTCTTGCCTTGCAGCAGCGATGCATCAAGTGAAACAAAAGATTTTCAATTGAATGAAGAAGTAGAAAGCCAACGAAAAGATTCAATAAAAGGACTGGTTACAAAAGACATAGTGGGAAATGAACGAAGACGGCAGGCTGCTTTAGAAGATGACTTCTTGCCTTGCAGTAGCGAAGCATCAAGTGAAACAAAAGATTTTCAATTGAATGAAGAAATAGAAATCCATGGAACGGATTCAATTAAACGACTGGTGACAAAAGACACAGCGGAAAATGAACGAAGACGGCAGGCTGCTTTAGAAGATGACTTCTTGCTTTGCAGTAGCGAAGCATCAAGTGAAACAAAAGATTTTCAATTGAATGAAGAAATAGAAATCCATGGAACGGATTCAATTAAACGAGTGGTGACAAAAGACACAGCGGAAAATGAACGAAGACGGCAGGCTGCTTTAGAAGATGACTTATTGCTTTGCATTAGCGATGTCTCGAGTGGAACAAAAGATTTTCAATTGAATGAAGAAATAGAAATCCATGGAACGGATTCAATTAAACGACTGGTTACAAAAGACACAGCGGGAAATGAACGAAGACGGCAGGCTGCTTTAGAAGATGACTTCTTGCTTTGCAGTAGCGATGTCTCGAGTGAAACAAAAGATTTTCAATTGAATGAAGAAATACAAATCCAAGGAAAGGATTCAATTAAACGACTGGTTACAAAATACACAGCGGGAAATGAACGAAGACGGGAAGCTGCTTTAGAAGATGACTTTGTTCCTTGCGGTGAGCCTCCTTCATGTACATCGTCTAACGATGGCACTGGCGATATAAATGTCGAGAGGTTGCAATATGACAGACAAATTTTATTTGGTGCCAATAATTATGAAGATGAAGTAAAAAATTTTCAACATCCGAAAGTTTCGTTAGAAGACAAACCTAATGAAAAATATGAGATGAAGCAGCCATATCAAGATATGATTCAGGACCCTGATTATCAACTGAATACACTGTCAGATATAAGGTATGAAACTTTTCAGTCCTAAACATTAGAGAATGCACAAAATGTTTTGCGCATGCACTGAAATTCAAACTGCATGTCAACAATTGTGAATTTAACATTGAGATTTGAGAAACAAAATTTTCTCTTTGCCCCGTTTGAACGTTGACAAACCCTATTTCTAAGATACTGAAGTAAAAACATTGTTACATGATCTACGTCGTAGTGGATCAGCAATATCTTAACCAGACCATTAAAATTCAAGAGATTTTTGAAATTCCATTCAAAGTGATTGCAACAGTCGATTTTTCATTCTAAGTTCAATATCAGATATGTCACTGGAGAGAGAAACAAGAATGGAAAATCGCGGCATGCATGAAAACGTTAGAGAACAGGAAACAAATTCAAATGGTCATAGAAGGGATGAATTGTTAGCTACAAATCTAGTGAAAGAATCAATACATTTAGACAATAAAGGTAAGAAATCATAATAATATCATAATAATCTATAAATCACCCCATACAAAAACGTTTACTGATTTGTCTTCATGTAGGCGCCATGAAATCACCTTTGACTCAATCCAAGGCAGCAAGCCCAGACTCGCATGCGATGACACAACTACGCAAAATTATGCAAGGAGTAGTCTTGACAAGTGCAACGCGAAATGTTTCGGCTCAGATTGAAATGAAAAAAGAACTTGAGAAGAAACAAAGAGAAGAAGAAAAAGACATTTATGATCGTAAAGAACTTGGAACAAGATGCCTGGAAAAATTTCGGGATGGTATTTTAAAGCCAAGATCAGGTATGATCTGAGTCATCTGATGACATTTTATGATATCAAGTCACAGTGGCAATTTATGAAGTTAATTACTGCCTACCAGAAGTTATACTTTACTTTTGGCGACGTTAAACAATATTAGGCCACAGTGGCTATTTATGATATCTTTCTTTAGCTTCGCCGAATAGACGAATGTCATACCAAGGTATTGGAGCAACAATGCAATCTCCAGTGAGCCCAAAATTAGAGTCAAGGTCGATGTCGGGCCTGGGTCGTGGAGTGAATATTGAAGTAAGTTTAACTTAGAGAATTCGTATCAACTGCAAAATATATTTTTGCAATATTAGGTAGATGATTGTTCCTTATGCAATTGTTCCGTCCGCGTCACCTGCCTACGCAGGCATAGTACCAGAGGAGTGGATTTAATAGACCATTACTGAACTAAAATTATTCTTCATCCACATTGGATTGACTCATTACTTTAACACTGAAAAGTATAACATGGAGAGAGAAAAGCTTATTTTTGGCAAACTGATTTTGTTGCTGTGGAATGAGTAAATCTTCTAGTCAGTCACATCGTCTTCACTTGAGTTTCATGTGAACTTACTTTCTTTATCAATTATAGAACGTAATAACAAAAGAAAGATTAGAACACAGCCCTATCAATGACCAATATCAAGTGAATAGAGAACTTTCTTATACTCTGCCTACATATGATCCTTGCCCACAACCATCCGATGACGAGGACTCCTACATTCAAGAAACCTGTCAGAGAACAGGCCTCGCAATGTCACACAACAACATAAGACAGACGGGCACAGAAAATGTGAACAACGGCAGACCTGAGCCCGCGTACCGTACACCCGAGTGCAGGCTACCTGCAGCCCTTGTGCCTTTAAATGTCGGAGAGTCAGCTCCTGAGCTTGCGTCAAAAGTAGCAGGTGTTCAAGCAAGTCTAGGGTTTGGTTCCAGTGATCCATGGAAGCCCAAGCTTCTGCCAGGAATAAAAGAGGAGGGAATGACACCAAGACGAAGTGATAGTCGTTTACTAAAACAGAAATCAACGACTGTTCCAAGATTTGCTTTGACAATGAAACCAGCGGCACTACCTGATATTGGCCAGTATTCCCTGCGGGGCAGAGCTCTGCCCGGCACGAAGGCTGACAGGGGCGTGTGATAATGTAAGGTAAGGATAAAGGAATGGCTGAAAAACTTGTTTCCACCCAAGTCCCGAGTGATAGTCATGAATCATGATTCCGTTCTTCTTTATTACAAAATTAAGATATAAAACCTGAGCTCAAGTGAACATTCGCGGCGACATCAGAATGATAAAATCAGTTCTCTGTGAATTTTTGTACATTTTGCATCTTCATTCATTCATGGTTAATAAAAAACATTCAGAAAAGTCTATCTTCTAAGCTTTACCACTCATATCGTTAATAACGAAAACAGTAATCTCGTCTACACTGTATAAAAAATCTAAAACACCATTGCATTCGAAGCGTTTAACTTTTTTATCCTCAGCTGCAGTCAGCACTCGTGTTCATTTTGATTAAATACAAGTGAATTAAGGCGCTTGACCACGAACAACCAAACCGAGGGAAAGGTCGACCATTTCCACTCCCATTAAATACTTATATATCCCAATACAATATACCCTTTAAAATGCCTTGAGGCATATACATGCTTCAAACTTAGTCCAAAGTAAACATTAGTGACATTACTCTCACCTTAATGTTACGTAGAAACGAGGACACACTCTTGAACACGTGCTGAGGAAACAACTTTAAAATCATTACTCAGATTGGAGCTGATAAATGGTTTTGCATTTTCTCTATTTTGCTATTCATGTAATAAATCATTCACCTTTGCCCAGAGCATAGATCAATTGTTTAAACCCTTCCAATTCAGTCCGATAGTAAATGCCGTTGTAAACACGCCCACTCGCCCAGACGCTCCTTGTTTAGTTTTTTAAAAAGAGAAAACCGAGGGAAATTAAGGATTACCAACCATGGTGCTTTTCATCGTCAACCCGACATTGTTTGGATTAATCTATAAACACGTGAGAAAAAATGTTGGATAAAAGAAATCTATATAAATACTCAAGCCATAAATTTGACTTTTTCAGGTGGCTAAAAAGCTTTCATTGTTGGCTATATTGCGGGTTTTTTCACCAAAATGATATTTTAAATGGTTGGCCTTCAGAAAAAATTTCCCCACGATCTATGTTTAGATTACGAAGTGAATGATGAAGTGAAGGTATTTATGAAGATTAGCAGTATATCAAGTGCTAACCACTGACAGGATTATTTTAGAATAGGTTAGTTTTCGAACCATTGGTGCGCCGAGATCCTAAATATGCGCCGCAAACCAGTGTTTCCCAGGCTCCAAGCTCTGGCTCTGCTGGTCAAATCCAAGATGGCGGACATACATAATGTTATACAGAGTAATTTCTGCCAGTTATCTGCGATACTTATTATGTACTTTGACTTAAAATGCCTGTAAAATGGCTGGATTAATTAAATATTGTCTTCCTTTATTTGTACGTCCATCAGTAAGCTACTTTGGTAATAGAAAAGGCGTCGTTTTTTGCAAAAACCTACCCACGTGGAGCTGGAGGACGTTCCAGAGTGGAAGTAAAGCCCTTTAAACCTTTTCTTGACATATTACTCGTCTACTCTTTAAGCAAGAAATGTTTTCCTTCTTTTAGGAGCTAGCTATGCTGGTGAATACGAGTGGGAAGATCCGAAATCTCCTGATGAAATGTGAGTCACGTATGGACTCGTTCGGTCGTCTTTCGAGTTTCGACACTTTCATAAAATTGTGTGGGTAAATTTGCATACGATATTTATACCTTGCAGCATCAACGTAAAATTTATTGATCAGAATGGTCAATATATCTCAGTGCAGGGAAAAGTCGGAGATAATGTCATGTATTTAGCGCATCGTCATAATGTGGAAATCGAAGGTATATAAGGTCTATATGCCTATTGAAATTTTATCTGTGAAGTGACCTTCAGAGATTTCTGGCACAACTGAGAAACTTAGCACTGTGTTGTAGAATAATTGCTAAACCAACTAAATTTTCTTGAAATGGAAACAGGTGCGTGTGAAGCTTCTCTGGCTTGTTCCACATGCCATGTTTATGTAAAAGAAGAGTATTTTGAGATATTACCTGAGCCTGAAGAGGGGTGAGATTTCTAGAAAGACATGTTGTATTGTCATTATGTCATAGGAAGTAATAATAAAAGGATGTTTTGAATGTGAGTATTGTTGTATTATACTTGCATTTAAATCCTGCAATGAATGTGAATATAATTTCAGGGAAGATGATATGTTGGATATGGCACCCTTTTTACAGGAAAACTCAAGACTTAGTAAGTTTTATATTAAGTGGTTGACTGATTCCCTACCAATTTGTCCTAGGGAAAAACCCAAATTTTTGTCTTGATCCAACAGCCTGTGTGATACTTGCAAAATAAGGATTGCAAATGTTCACTTATAGGATAGCAAATGTTCACGTGCAAATCTTTAAATATTGCCTCATTTTTAAGTTGTTAATGCCTCTTGTTTTTTACATACTTAGGTTGTCAGATTATCTTAAATAAAGAAATGGATGGTATTGAGTTGACCTTACCAAAAGGCACAAGGAACTTTTATGTTGATGGCCATGTCCCTCAACCTCATTGAGGCACACACAGTAGCTTATTTGGCACTTTTTCTAATCTACGAACCTGTGACTGGAAAGTTTTCTTTGTTTTCCAACCTTTTTTCTGACCAGCAATTCACATGCAAAGGAAACTTCCCAGTCCAACCAGTTTTGTTAGGAGTAGCTTGCATCTTTAGATGGGATTTTCCATTGCAGGAAAATAACTGCTATGTTTTTTCCAAAAAAACTGCCAAGTAATTAGGTACACAGTGATGCTGCAATAAAGCCAGTAGTGTAAAAAATATTTAAAGGAAGATTATATACATGTATAATTTAAATCAGAAACTGAATATTTGAAGAACAAATATATTTTTGTGTTCAACTTCATTTAGTTTAGTTTGATTACAATAAATATAGAATACTCTATAGAAGTTTTACCTGATTGAGCGAGAAGCTCTGTGTTACCATTTATGAACATTTATTATGTAAATGAACACAAAACCACAAGCTTCCAAGTATAAAACGATTGTGAGAAATTAATAAATCTTGAAAATATAAATGGAGAATGAAAGATAATGCTGATAAAAGTAAATTTACATTTAAGGATATGATTATGAAAAGTATGCAATATATTTAATGATGTTTCTACATGTGTTAACTTGGACTTAAATGTTTACACCCCCTGATCCCCACTGCAAATATAAATGGATAACATATTATGTTTGCATATTTGTGTTCATTCATGATGCTTGCCCTTCAATACCACATAATGTTTTTGGTTTCCACAAAGCTTTAAGTACAGTAGTAGGTTCATCTTCTTCTGTTTCTCCTTGTATTTGATCTTCTTGGACGTTGTATTCCCCCAGTTGTTCGCATCCAATATCAAAAAGATACTTTCCCTTTCCTTTCATACAATTGTCTGCAAACTGACCAGAGTAACGATGATTTGCATGAATTAATTCTCCAGCACCTTCACAAATACCTTTTGTCCAGGTGCCTTGGTAGCGAGAACCAGTCACATTGAAAGTATACACACCTGAAGACATTTAGGAAGTGTTAGTACTTATGCTGTTTTTGTACAATTTTTCCTGGTTTGTCCTATGATATACAACTAAAAAGACACCTTGAGGTGAGAGTAAAAATCTTGAACCCAGTAACCCACAGTTATTCCTCACGCTCTTAACGAAAGAGTCGAGACTTTGCATTTCATGTTTGTGCAGAAAAGCAACTCTGATCCTGCATAATCTGTCAGACTCAGAAACTTAGAACCGTTCGTATTCTGGGGGGGGAGGCTGGAAAGGCAATATATTCGTTAGTTTACCTTGTCCATGTCTCTTATTTTCGTACCAGTCTCCTTCATAAATATCACCGTTGACGTAATAGTATGTTCCAAAACCATGTTTTTCGTCATTTATCCAGTTTCCTATGTACTTTGATCCATCTGGATAGATGAATGTACCGTAACCATTCTTTTTACCTTTCGTGTAACTGCCAGTGTATCGTGCACCATTTCTAAATCTAAAGAGAAGACTTTCTTCACTGGACACGCTCAGGCCGGGTTTTCCCAGATTTTCTTCCGACCCCTTTTGCTTGCCAATCCGGGAGGTTTAACTAAACGTGACACCACTGACATGATCTCGAGAGTTTAAAAAACTCTTTGTCACTAATTCTCTTCTGTGTATATAACTATGATTATGATACTGTTAAGATCATACAAATACTTGCTCATGAAGCTGCTAGTGTATGAATAATTTCACGCTCGTTTGCCTTTATAATCACTGGGGTAAATTGCTGAACTGATGTGTTATAAACTAATTTACGCTAAGTCTAGGTCACGCAAAAGCTTACTTGTACGTTCCTTGTCCATTACGCTTTCCATGTTCATAAAAACCCTCGTAAGTATCTCCGTTAGGCAACTTTGCCTTTCCTTTGCCGTGTCTTTCCTCATTTTGATTTCGCTCTCCTTCATATTCTCCAAGATATGGACCTTCTTCACCTTCGATTGATTCTTCATCGGAAGACATTTCTTACGTTCTACTTTATATTAGATCTTACTTTATTCGATAGTTATTAGATAAAAATGAAACAATATCAGCACAGGCAATTCTACACTGGGTGAATGTGTTGTTAAAATAAAGCTTCAATGTGTTCGTAACTATAGAAACAGTGCAATAGGATATCCTTCTTTGTTGACAGGTGGCTTTTCAAATTAATTTCAGTAGAATGAAAATAGCGGAGACTGACTGCCTATAACAAAACAGACCACTAAAAAACTTCATTTCGAGAAAGCAACTAAACAAAATGTTGAATTTTCGTGATTGTTGTCTTCTTCTTAGTGCACAACGTTGTATCATATGATGATATCGTTTTGTATTGTAGACCCCTCTCTAGTGTCTAGTGCGTCTGATTCTGCAATATCTTGTTACGTTAGAGCAGGGTGGAAGCAGAGGCAGCTGCCCTGAGTGCCCGCTTTCCATTTACCAGCAGAGGCAAAGGAGGCAAGGGAATTAAAGGATTGCATTGCAGTCGTTCAGTCGTTGATGAATCTACTTTAGACAATCCTAGTAAAGCAGATATTAAACGAGTTATAGCAGTCATAGCACCATCGTCTGGCAAAAGTAAAACGTTTTGATATAGATCTGGATGCGGACACTCTTTTCACCTCCATTTGATTCAAGCAATCGTTCATCTCAATTGCCAAGAAGACTCTGGGCACGAGGTTGCTCAAGTGCGTCCATCTCATGCAGTAGACTGTGACGTAAACACGGTTTGTGACTTTGTGCCAGTCTAGCATGAAATTGTTACTTTAACACGGTTACGGTCATGCTCGGGTATGACTATGGGTATGGCTAGTTAAGTACGACCCTGATCACGGAGGTGGACCCACAGTTCAGTGGGTGGACCGTGGACCTGGTGTGTTAATCTGTTCGGATGTTTCTGTCTCGCAGCCTACGACTCTCCCTCGGGGGGACAAACTCAACAAAGGTATATGTCGCAGCCTCGCAGGCTCAGGAACGAAAAGAGACCAATAATAAATCCAAGTTCTGAGTTTCCAAAGTAGATAGTGGAACATTGAAACGTCTGATTGACCGATCCAGCGCCTATCTGCCCTGGCATATCGCACTTATCAGAAACGATGTCCCTAGATCTGTATGAAATGTGTTTAAATGTGATTAGCCGTCAATTTAATTTAATCAATATAACATACATAAAAGGTATGTAGTCATGTAGATTCATTATCATTAACTGGGTATATTCATTTCAGACCTCTCACGGTGTAAACTATATTATGGAAAATGGAAAATAATGATTCTGCATCTCTTATGAAATTATTTAAAAGTTCTAAACAAATTATCCAAATTTACAATAATATAGATTTGCCAAAGCACATTCTTGAACAAATCCTTCAGAGACTAAAGCCATATGACTTGGAAACAATTGAAAATGAAGAATTCCTAAACTTGAAAGGTAGAGCCTTTCCTAAAATGTTCATGCTTATTTTTATATATGTATATTTCAATTTAGAGCAATCTCTCTGATTTTTAAGGCATTTCTTCCGACTCATTGTGGAAGGCTCACTTCATAAGTAACTTTAAACATGTTGTCAAATTGCCAACATTGAATTGTCATTGTTTCAATTCGAAGCCGTGGAGAAACACAATATTTGAGAGACATTTTCATGAGACCACATCACAAATCTCCTTGAAGGAGAGTTACAACTTGAAGGTGTTTATCGACGATCAGTTATAATGAAATTATAAATTGATTTAGCACTTTGCTTTATTTAGTTTAAGCTAATAATTAAGCTTAATGTAGGTTTAAAATCAGCAGTTTAACCATAAAGTGAATGAGGGACCCACCCCCCAACTTTTTATTTAGACCAAATTTTTAATTGTTCCAAACCCAAAAAAAATGATTTTGGCAGTCCTATGGATATACCAACACATTGGGGTGTCCACAATCACCACATGTAGCACTGGTAGTAACATTTGAAACTTGGACCTGCCTTGCATTACATGCAGTTACAGTACATATAGTACTAATATATTAGTCTATCTTTTGTCTAGAAGATGTGATTTTCTGACAAGACAGACCACAAGACACAAACTCTCTTATCTTTCTCTTTCAGATATGAATGATGGACTTGATCTATGTATAAAGCATCTTACTAGAATTCGAATTAGTCATAATACAACATGTATTTATCTTTCACAAAGTCCTCACTTGCTCATGAAACTTGCTTTCGTACTAGAGAAAGTTGAAATGAGCCAGTTGCAGGACCGGAGTGTTGCGGCTTTGATTCAAATATTGGACGTTTTACTACCGAACAAACTAAAGTCATTTTCATTGTCAAACTGTAAAGTTGAACATACGGAAAATCTGAAAACACTTTTAAAAGCTCTTGCTAAATCACAATCACTAGAGACACATAGAAGCCTTCTTGTTGATAAGAATGATCCCACGGTCGTAAGCGACTGTGGTGCGTGCTTTAGTGGAAACCAAAAGTCTCATTTAAACCAGAGTGAAATGATTAGCAATGACGCTACAGGCGGTTTCTATTCTGGAACGGAAATCATTAATGACAATCAAGAAAACCATACGCCAAGCAACACAGCCCAAAGTACTGAAGACAATTTGTATGATGAGGGTGTTTTCTTAAGACAGTCTTCACTATCTGACACCTGTCAAGAAATCCCTTATGTGAACACGATCACGATGGCAAGTTCCTCTTCAATGCGAACGTCAAAAGAAGTTCTACGTAAACGTGAAATAACATTGAATCAACTTCGCCCAAATTGTTTGACTGATCTCAAACTCTCTTCTTGTCTAATGGATAGCAAAAGTTTGAGAGTGTTCTCCGAAGAATTGGTTCACTTTGTTAGCTTACTTTCTCTTGAATTGTGTGATATTGGATTACGTTTCGTTCCTGAAATGAACAAGGTTCTCACCAGCGTTAATGAACTTGTAATCAATGGATCGTTACGTTATCTTGTTTTTGAGAATGAATCCCTAAGTTGGCAAATGGAGATGTTTTGCGATATGCTCATGTCGTCTTGCGAGAACTGTCGATCAACAGAAACACATAAAGGATTGTGGTCATTACGTTTGGTAGGTGGCTTCATTTTTAACATTGGTAGCTTTGGAAAGATGCTGGAAACTTGTTCATTCTGTGAAGAACGAGGCTTTGCTCATAAAAATAGTGAAATTTTGTTGATGGAAGATAGACTCCATTCTTTAATAGACCAGTGTGCAGACATGGTTCTTCCACTTTATCCGGGATGCTCGCCGCTTGTAGGCCACAGAGAGAAGAATGAACAGGCTATATCTCTAAGTTCAAGACGTCAATATATAACAAGTGGCATTGAAAGTTTATATTTGAGCTTTCACGATATTAGTGGTACCAGTGGAAAGGAACTCGCCAACTCACTGTTACACAACCGTAGTTTACGAAATATCTCATTACCTTCGTGTGGTCTGAAAACAGACGATATCTCCTGTATATTTGACTCCATTGCAGGTATAAATATTTGTCTTATTGCATTATAGAAAATGTTTGAGTGACCTCTGTAGCTATGTTATTTATATGGCTACTTTTTCTATTACTATGTTTTTAGGTAATGAGGTGGTCAGAAAATTGGAGTTACGAAATAATCTTTTTGATATGAATCAAAGTTACAGTTTGTGTAAATTTATTGCAATGACTCATTTGGTACATTTGGATTTATCTTATTGTAGCCTAGAAGGTGATGAAAACGATTAATTGGTCTCCCCTAAATACTGTAGCTACAAAGCGTATAAAATTAACACGAACTGCCGAGTAAAAATATAACCTGGACCCCGTGTTAATTATTTCACATCATGCCTGACGCAATGTAGTGTAGAAGACTTAGCTTTGACTGAAAATACTACACTCTGAATGAATTTGGTATATACAATTGAATTATTGGATAAAAATCTCATGTCTGTCACACGTCAGCAGTTATTGATCAGAAAAAGTGTTTTTGAGTAATGCAAAAACGCAGCCACGGCAGTTGTTGTGTGACAAAGTGTATAAATGTTAATAAATGTAGGTTAAATATTATCTAATGCATCGCCCTATGTCTAATGCATCGCCCTATGGATTCAGCACACATGCAATAATTGAGACTTAATTTTAGTTATTCCTGATGCCGTGGTAGTGTTACTGTCGTCAAACAAAACCCTACAAGTATTGCTGTTGGCTGGAAACAGATTGGGTCAGTACTCGATCAGCATTTTCTTGAGCATGGTTTGACGTTTCACGTATACCTTAACTGGTCTTGCTTTACATTCGAAGGTAGGGCATTTCTTTCCAGTTTAAATTAAGCAATTTTATTTTATGCACGTCAAGGTGATGCAGGTGTATTTCAACTAAGCGACGTCTTCATAAATGGCGGGACTTCAGTATTGAACACTCTTGATTTAAGGTAAGGATTAGTTATCAATTGTTTTTTGAAATTCTTTCGTTTCCTCTTTGCTAATTTGAGTCTTCGCTCCATTGAGTCTTCGCATTTTTTTGTTTTAATTGCCTATCGCTTTCCTATGCTTATGTCACAAGCAAAAACCAAGTTAAAGTTTTAATTTTAGAACCGATAGTTTTCCGCTTATGTCAACCGTAAAAATATGCTGGTGTAAAATAGTTTCAAACAGGATGCCATGCATATTGGCCTAACAAATTAGCCAAACGCAGTCATGCATGCTTAGCTTAGCTCTTTTTTTATCTGAGTTCTTGACTAATTCGTTCATCCCCCATTTGGCAACCCTGATATCGAAACCGTGGGGTACCTGAAATGCCAAAATAATTCTTCTTTGTCTATTCCATCCCAACGGTTTTTTTGCGGAATATTCTTCAGGACGTTCTTTCTATAATGATAAGGAATACAAATATGAGTTGCACAAAACGCTTGATTGCAAAATAACCGAAAATGATGAGATTAAAGAAAGGAAGCAAATGTGAAATTGTCTGCCTGCCGTTCTAAGTCAGCGAACGAAATGCACTGAACTAAAATAAAAGTTAGCTAGAGCTTCGTTTTAAATACCTGGGTTCAGTCACAGTTCCACAGCCTTGTACAGCAGTATTCTTATAAGCTTGAAACTCCTTATTTTCTAGGCATTTTTGTTTATGCAAGTGGTTTAAACGAGTGTGCATAACTTGTGAAATACTCGCTATTCATGCATACACACCCGTTTGGCCTTAATTACGTCGAATGGTTCTCATTCAAGCGAATAAATTAATTACACCAATGTGAATTAGTTCATATGGTAATTGTCATCGTTGACTACACAACTTGACAAGACAATTATAGGATTAGGTGAAAACCAATCCTTAAAATTACTCTGTGATGGGGGCCTTTAACAAACATAAAAATATAAATCTATATCAGTTTGATCATGTATCTATCAGTTCAGCACTCCATACCTGGTATAATCATAAGATCTAGGGGTTTATTTAACCCTTTAACCAAGTTATATATTTTATTATAGTTGTAATAAGCTGACAACCTGCTCACTTCTTCATTTCGGAAATGTCTTGTCAACAGAATGGCCAACCAAACTTCGTAAAATTTCTATTTGTGAAAATCCACTGGTAAACGTTTCGACTGTCAGAGAATGTTTGAATAAAGTCTTCGATGTTGTAATAATGGAGCCTGTTGTTGATGGCGCTATGGCATACGCGGATTATCTCAGCGAGATGTGACTGCCCTGTCTTTGAGGAGTAATATTGTGTACAAGATTTCCCGTGAATAGCAAGGCGTGCTCAGTCTTTTGACTATCAACATTTTTAGAACTTGCAACAGCAACCAACCAATATCGTATGTTTAGTCTCATAGAGCTGCATGATAGTTGTGACGACTGGCTTTGTCAGAGTCGTCAGGCATATGCGCAGTAAATGACTTTACCAAAACGAAAACGAGGTTAAATACACATTTATCGGTCAAAATAGAAAAATATTTTTCAAGTTCAAGCATGTGTTAAAGGTTTAGGGGTTAGTATAATAAGTTCACAAATTGACAAGTAAACATCATATAGATAATATACACTAAAAATCACTAGTATATACTTGTTTAATAAATTCAGTCTAAAATTCAATTCATTTTAAATTTTACAAATCTATATACAAACATATGAGAAAGGCCATGCCGGGTATACATATGGTTGCCAACATTTACACACAATTATATTCAATGAAATTTATATCTATACATATTTAAAAAAGTCTTATTTAACTGCAATATTATTATTAGAGTGGGAGAAATTATCGTTTTACACTTCAACAGGTCGTTCCGAATGTCGTTCAATCATCGGACTGTGCGGCTCCAAACGATCTGAAGATTCTGACGGTAGGATTGGTTCCATTCCGTCTGTTTGTTGTTTTGCAAAGTTAATAAAAACCTATATACAGCGATAAAAACGCCAATCAACGTTGGAATAAAAACTGTTTACTATAGTGTAAATAACTGTTGTGGAATTAGGGAGAGGAATGTGCGCGGAAAAGGAAAAAAATATACATGTATACAGGATTGCATGTGCAGTTGCACTGATGGACATGTTTTATAACGATATGTAAGAATTTAATTTTTCCCGGCGTATCCTCGGGCGGATAAATAGCGTCTATATGCGAGGTTGTTGTGTACTGAAAGCAATTAATTACATGCAATAACTTGATTCTGACAACTCGTACAGGAAAGCGGTTATAGCTTAATAGCATAATAGAACTTTCATTAATTAACTCGTAATATATGTCTGCATGAACGTCTAAAAACTATTTGCTAGAAGTTATCAAGCAATCATGCAGGCGAGACTCGAGAGTTTCTAATATATTGAGAAAAAACCCAATAAAAGCAAAGACCCTGAGCATACCTGATCTAACGTTGTTTGACTGACGGAGTATTCCTCGATGCTCAGTTGTTCTCTACTTCTTTCCAACTCACCAAATACAAAAGACAGAGAAGTTCTCTCATTATGTAACTGATACTCCAGCATATTATGATGTTGATCCTTCAAGAAAATCGGTAGAAAAGAATCAAAACGATAATTTTATAACTGTGATCCCATCGATTTAGATTTTCTATTTTAGTTCCACGGAACACAAATATTTTCTCAAAATATCGCTGGAGTGATTTGCAGGTACACTTACCTTTAATACACATTCCAAAAAGGTATTTTCCATGAAATTCTTTACAGGCTCCAAATCAGGCATGACTCCCGCAATTCTGAGAATAACGGTATAACCATCTCCATATCTGTGTGAATACAAATTATAAATTAAATGATAAATAATACAAAATATTTATTAATTCAAATTATCCACAATAGAGTTATTCTATCAAAAAAATGTTTACAACTTTTTTTAAAGAAATATAAAATAATTTTTACTAACTTGTTCTTGAGGTGTTGAGGCGTCCCCATACATTTGAATTCTCCATTGACCATGATTGCTATTCGTCCGCAAAGTGCCTCACATTCTTCCATACTGCATGTGAGAAACAATTTTAAAAACTCGCTCTACACATTTATCACGCTAGTTACAGTCAATGAAAAACTTGTTCAACGATAATTTTGTTCAGATGTATTGATGCGTAACATGTTAAGTACGACCTTGCTCTGGTTGTTCTGGATGTCAAAGTTATGCCTACACTCATTATATAAATATTGTACTCACCTGTGCGACGTTAAAATAATTGTTCGTCCATCTTTTACAATGTCAGAGATAACTTTCCATAAAAACCGTCTGGCTTTTGGATCCATGCCTGTTGTCGGCTCATCCTAAATTTGAAAGATGGTGCATAAATACTCAATTCACAACGATCATTATATGTCCTACCTTTCGGAGAATTAATTGGTAATCGTGCCGTTGGTAATGGTTGAATAATACTTTTCAGGGCGGTAACAATACCTATATCACCATCATTCGTATATGGCAATTGAAACTTACCAGAAATATAATTGGGCATTCACCAACCAAAGAAATAGCTGTAGATAATTTGCGTTTATTTCCCCCACTGTATTTTCCAGCACACCGGTCAGCGTATTGGAGAAGATTGAGTGTGCGTAGACACCAATCGGTAACCTGAAATTGATTGGAGAACAATAAACACGTGGGTCGATCAAACATTACCTTTTAGTGCCTATATCTCGCAAGTTAAATTGGGAATGGCGCGGAACATAGTTGAACGATTTTCCTCATGATAAACTTCAAAGAACCTTGAAGTAGTCGCGAGGTATTTCTTTTTGGCGAATTTGTACACACCTGGTTAACATCCTCTTCTTGAATTCCTCTTATTCGGGCATAAAGTTTCAGGTGTTCGCGGGCAGTGAGAAGATCATTGAGAGCATCAAACTGTGGACAATATCCCATACTTTGTCTTGCAGCCAAAATATCATCGACAACACTGTGTTGATTAATGTAAGCATCGCCTTTAGTTACACTAATATCTCCAGTTAGCATCTTGAATGTTGTAGTTTTACCAGCACCATTTACACCAAGTAATCCAAAGCACTACACATAAGAAGACATAAATATATACTCGAATATACAAAGATCCGTGTACACAGATGACGTACATGTATGATCCGTGACCCATAACACGTGATAAACATACAGTAGGCTCTTAAAGTGGCCTCCCATCTTTTTTGGTTTAATAGTTAGACATAATTACGTCATTTGGCTTGGAAGCCTAGAATGCACTTATGAATTGTCATCTAATGGCCTTGTGTCTTTTACTATTTACGGCGAGGCCTTTAAAACATATTCCCAACTAAGTCAAACCACGTGATCATACCTGTCCACGTGGAACACCAAGACAAAGTTCTTTCACTGCGACATTCTTTGAGCGACTAAATTTTGATTGGTAGACCTAAAAATAATAAATCCGTCAATGTAATGAGTTCATAATTGCTTTTAACTTAACTTTCGTAATTTTCCTGCGTCCAAACACGATTTAAATAATTCTTTATTACCTTTGTCAGGTTAACAAGACGAAGACATTCAGAATTAGCATCACCATTCTTAACACGTTGTCTTTCATTACGGACATCATCGTCACAATCTGCACCACTAGATAACTCACCAATTACTTTCCTAAATATATCAATAATGTGCTTATTGAGTATTTAAGACAACCGTCTTCCAAGTTAAATGAATAGTAAAACCTACCTTTTTTTAATGAAGAACCTGTATTCGATCAACAATGTAAATGCAAAGTAGACAAAACCCAACACAAACATAGAGAGGATATTTCTGCCAGTGATGTCCCAACTCAATGGATCTTTAAAAATATCGCTACCTATAAATAACCAAAAATATCAAGTTGAACACAAAGTTTCAAGTTACCAACAAAAATATCCAATAAATATATGTTTTTTCCATAGACCGGCCACATGCCGTTGACTTACCAAATCTTTTGTAGACGTCAGCGAATATTTGATTCTTTGCTAGATCAATAAGTCCTCGGCCCAAGCAATAATTTGGGAAAATGAGAAAGATTTGCTTGAGGTAGGAATTGATCAGCTGGAGCTCCTATATATAAGAGAGGGATTGTCATGTATTAGCATATAGTGTATATCAATATCAATCTGAGTACCCAACTATCTCTTAAGTCACGTTCTTTTAAAAAACAACAGATTCATGTCCATTTTTCACATGGTACTTACAGCATCATCGTCAAAGAACTCCAGAACAAAAGTCGCGATGGTCGTGTTCATTCCAATAAATAGATTAATACAAATTAGGGCGATGTAAGCTGTGCTTGAGATCTCAAACACGAAGGAAGCTGGATACATCAGAGGCGTTATCGACCACCTGAAAAATCAAAATTTAGAAATCGTTAGTTTTTTCTGTTATACACAATTGATCATGCATGCAATGCCACACTCTGAATAGACGTTGGATAACGTCTTAAACTTTCGTATAAGACCCTTACCCATATAACAACAGTAACAACAGAGTTGGTCCAAAGTTATCAGCTGAAGTGTACGACTTCTCTTGGAATGCGAGGAATATGCAGATACAACAAAATGCAGGGATGCAATAGTTACACTAAAAACAAAATAACGTCGGATTTTAGCGTTAGTGTTTATTCTTCTTAAAAACAAAATAATCGTTAAAAAACGAGTGCAAAAGTGAAACACACTTGCATTTGACTGCTGAGTTAAAGCGAAGCTGAATATTCTTATTTTGTTTGTGGTGACATTATTTGAGTATTTTTATAACATGCTGCTATTGAAGCTGCAATGAATGATACGTTTTTCATTAAGTGGTGCATGTTGTCATATTGAACATATATGAAACTCACCATATCCCAGACGAAGTTGGATACCCAGTATATAAGAGGATTCACACCACAAACCATGTGTAGATGTTTGGCTTTCGAAACACGTTCATTGATGAGAAAAACAACAAAACTTGCAGGAACAAATGCAAGTGCAAAGATCACAAAAATAGCCATTACCAGGTCAGTTCGGGTCATATTTTTCCTAAAAAAATACACAAAATATTTTGAAAAGATATAGAATTGTCCATGTATAACAACCATGCTGGTACATAGCTGACTTATTTTAATGGACCTACAATGTTGCTTCAGATAATTCTCCTTTTGTTAAGTTCATCGGATGATTATATGTCGTTATTCCTGAAAAAGGAGTAAAAACAAAATATAAAATATCGTGATGGATGTGCATTGTTGAGAAATGAGCAAAAAATGAAGGAAGTAAAGAAGATATGCCAGCTGAGCAAAGACTGCGTGTCCTTTCCCTCGGGTGGTAATTAAAAGAGAAACACCAGGGGGAGTGGGTGATAGCAAGCAGATTTGGAACATACCGTATCGTCTTGGATTTGTGCCTTTTGAAGAAACTCGCTCACGTAACAAAGTATTAGTTGCGACGCTTAAGAAAGTTGGCATTGCATGATAGCCCTTATTGCTGTACCAGGCCTGGAAAACACAGTTTATTAAAATATTTAGCTACATGCACGGATACCTACATGAGAAACTTAACAGGTTGAGGCCTATGGGGAATTAC